TGAATGAATTTCATATTAAAAAAAACCATATTTCATTCTTATCTATATCTTCAACTCTTGCTGTACCTAGATAGATAATATTGCTATGAAAAAAATTTTTTTTATAAACTACGTTCTTAAAACCGACTTCAACCCCCTTTTTTTGAAGTCGGTTAATAATTACTACTATTCTACTAAATATTGTAGTACAACCTTCTTCTAAATGTAACTACCACTTTTCTGAAAACCGCTTCAGTTTTGGTTCAGCCAGATAATCGCGCACAAACAATCATACCTACAGGTTAAACTGAGAGAACCTCCTTTTTTGAAGTTGGATAAAGACTTACCGATTTCAAGCGCTTCCCTCTCGGACTTCGTCATTTGCGACAGGCACACCACTAATGCACTTATACTAATTAACATTCTTAATGAACGCATTTTTATCTATTTATTAAAATTATTTAATTAAAACATTAACAAAAACTGTCCTAATAAGTTATCAACTACGAAATTATTATATTTTAAATATCGAAGTGAGAATAGACAAGCGAGTATTTTGTTTATTCGTAAATTGAATATAGGTTTTTATCGTAGGCACACGGAGCTATGGTCAAGCGCAATCTGAGTGCGTCTGCGAAAGTGCACGCCCCTACCAATGCTGAGTTGCGACACAGCTGCTGCTGTTGTCACTAAGAATCTGTTGCAAAGTTCTTACCAGTATGAACTTTGTTTATGTAAACAAATTGTTAGGACACCTAGATTTTGTTATATCCTACATTGTGTAGGTTTTGGGCTAGGTCTAGAGTCTAATGTTGAATAGTTATACTAATCAAAAATAACAGCGTGTAACCTCAAAAACATAAGCCGTGTAATAGTGTAAAATGTGATGTAACTAATCAGTATTTTCATGCTCTTATTACAGGTAATATCCTCATGAAAGTTTTGTAAAATTGGTATGTAAATAACCTAAATACTTACTCATGAATTACATTTCTATTAGAATACCTTTTTGGGTAATTAAAACGCCAAACGGGTAAAGTATAATAAAAATTAAAAATTTAAACTTAACAATTGTGATCTAACATGATGTCTTTTTTTGATAATCGAACTTTTTATTTTTTTTTGTTGTAATATCCTGTTCTTTGTTTAATGCATGTCGTGGCAGCCTTAAGGGTACACTATAGAGTGTTAATATATGTTAAAAACCTATCATGTATTTTGATGTATGCTTTGTTGGTTGTCCTTAAATAAATAAATAAAGTATCATTGTAATTTTAGAAATGTTCACCAGCTGAGAACTACTATTACACATTGTGTTTACAAATTGTATGAACATAATTACTGAAAAAAATGTGTTAGAACACCTCTAGAGACAAGAGGCGCCTTATATTTTTGGTTTAGATAATTATTTCGAAGTTCATCGATGCAAATTCTCGCAACCAAACCACACAGTTCGCCTCACGATACTATTAACGCCTTAGGCCATGTTATATAATGAATGACATAATAATGATTTTCAATATTGTATTCATATACTTATATATAAATAGGTACCTTCATCTGGCTGTATGTATATCTCCGTTCTTACAAGTGTTACATCTGCAGTTGTGTAACTAATGAGATGGACTGACAATAGGAAGAGGGCATCGGGAAGCGAACCTCTTGCGATATTACGGCCATTAAAACATCGTAGTTTATACGAACAATATGTCATAAGTCTCCTTAATACATTGTAGATCGTAATACAGGTATTTTATTGACTGTTAATATTGTAATGTAGAAGTATGTATGTAGGAACACTAATCTGGTCAAAGTAAAAATTGGTAAGTACGAATATTCGTAAAATGAAATGTTATCCCAGATTCTGAAAGTCGAAATGAAAAAATGAAAAATATTTTTTTTATAAACTGTGTTTAAAAACGCTGACTATAATCCCATCGTTTTTTAAGTTGGCTAATTAATATCCTAAAAGCTTCACCTAAGTGTAACAAACACTTTTCTGAATTGCACACAAACATATTAGATAGTAGGTACATACATACAGTGCAAACTGATATCGCCATGTTTTGAAGTCGGTTGGTAAAATAAAAATTTGAAATCCATGTCAAAATGAATAAATAATAAATAAATCTGCATTTGTATTTGGAAAAGTAAATATTTTGGTGAATAAATTATTTTTCTTTTAAAGGTGTCGCTTACCCAGTTACTGTAAATAGGCTGAAAATCGCAACTTAGTTTAACGACGTTTAGCGCCATCTAGTTACCTACTTAGAGAATTACTAAAGTAACACTATACGTGTGAGCTAACGAATAATAGTACCTAGTTAAATTTAATCAGGCACTGCGGTATTTCATTTCATTTATTCAATAAACAATTTACATTGTATCTGAATGTCTTCATAATCATAAATTACATTGCAATATAAATCCATACAGCATGGATCAGTCATATTTAAAAAAACAAAAATAAAAAGCAACAGAACAATTTAAATAATAATAAAACGAGAAATAATCTAATATAACATGACAAAAATCCAATTTAGAAAGAAATTACATAATTGGGTACTTTTCAAGATAAGAATGGATCAATCATAAATTCTTCCGCAAATTAAATGATTGAATTAAAATACATGTCATCAGAAACACTGCAATAATACAATACTCATAATTAAAAATGTCATCTACAGCCTGGTCTCGTCCACTGCTGGACATAGGCCTCTCCAGTGGCACGCCACTGAGCTCGGTCTTCAGCTCACGCATCCAACCACTACCAGCCACCTTGCGGATATCGTCACTCCACCTAGCTGGAGGGCGCCCTTGCCTAGACATGGTCTCCACTCCAGAACACGTCTACATTAACAGTCATCGGTTCTTCGACAAATGTGACCGACCCAGTGCCATTTCAGCTTGCTTATACCAAAGAGTATAATAAGTATAGGGAATAATACTTTGGGCTATATCCTTATCCTTACTAATATTATAAATCGGAAAGTGAGTTTGTTTGTTTGTTTGTTCCGACTTCACGCCGTAACTACTAAACCGATTTCATTGAATTTTTGCTGACGTAAAGTTAGTAGTCTGGATTAAATAATAGGGTACTTTTTATTCCGAAAAAATTGAAATTCCCGAGGGAAAACAAAAGTATTGGTATAGATGGCGCTGTATGTATTGGTATATGTCACATAGGCTACTTTTTATCCTTATGGGACTCGAGCGAAGCCGCTGGTAAAAACTAGTGGGAGTATAATACTTTGGGCAACGTCGGGTTCTTCCTATAGAGAGAATTAACTCGTCGAGTACCGGTTTTATAGACACAATTAAAGAACAATAGGTCGCGGTCACCGGTGACCGCTTGGTGTTTGACAGTTTAAAAAGGTTCATTTGTAAATAGTTTCTATGATATTACGCCTAGTCATGTCTTGAAAGTTCAGCTTAATACAAATCTCATGCTATTAACATAGTTGTAGGAGATTGAGTCGAGTAATATCGACTTAAACTAAAATAATTAATCGAAAAGGACAAAGCGACAGTGCTGCTAATATCTATTTATTTCTAACATAACATAACATCACGCCTTTTAATCACCGAAGGGGTGGGCAGAGGTGCACATTATACCATTGTACTATGTAACACCCACTTTTCGCTATTTATATTATGAGTCCCATGTAATAGGGGGTGAACCTATTGCCATATACGGGGCGCAGTTCCAGACTCCGTGCTACTACTGAGAATTTTTTAAATAGGTACCCAGTAGTACTAAGCCCGACCCGGGAATCGAACCCGAGACCCCTTGCCCGGCAGTCGCACTTGCAACCACTCGGCCAACGAGGCAGTCTATTCTATCTATTTCTGTAGGATCTTTTTTCTTCAAAACTTGACCTTATCTCACAATATTATCCAAACTCCTACAGTACCGACGTAGGCTGATTAAATTCTCGAAAACGTTTGAATTTTTGGGTTCACTTCCGTTTTGTCTCTTTCCATCTAATTTCATTTCATGTCCTATAAATCATCATCATCATCAACAGCCTATAAATACCCACTGCTGAGCAAAGCCTCTTCTCACACGGGGAAGGTTTGAGCCACGCTTGCTCAATGCGGGTTGGCGATTACAAACTTATAATTAGAAATTATAAGTCCAGGTTTCCTCACGATGTTTTCCTTCACCGTTAGTCAGTGGTGTCTAAATAATCTTAGAAAGTACATATAACTCGAAAAAGTCACATTGGTACTTGCCGTTGGTAGGTTTCGAACCCGCATTCTCATGCATGAGAAGCCAGCGTCTTAAACCTCCGGGCCACCACGACAACCTATGCCTATGTCATGTCCTATGCTTTATCCAAAATACTAAACGGTTCATAGATTAAAATTTTCATTAAGTATTAATGACATCTAATTATTATAGGTTTTTTAAATACTCAATTCATTAAAATGTTCGTTTAATAACGGTATTATACGTTAAAGGTGCGATATTAATAGGTATTCACTACAAGGAAATAAATCAATAATCAATTTCGAAGACTTTATTGCAGTTGTACAAATTGTCGTAAAACTAATAATACAAAGGGACCGTCCGGTCAAGTCGAATGTACCTTAGGAAGAACTCTAAATAAATATCTTATTCGCTACATTTTACAATTACTATGTTAAAGAAAGTAATGTCCAGTCTATAGAATTAATAGTACAAACACGCCGAAATCTTGTTCTTAACAACTTAAGTTAATGTAGTTAAATTTCACTTACAAGTTGTTACTGGGGTATCCATCAATTGTATTAGCACCAATATTCACTAAGTCATACTTGGTCTTGTCAAACGCTTCACTCTGTTCACAAAACCACTCAATGAAGAAATTTTTCATTTAACTTTTTCTATCCTATTATTTTGAATTAATGGACTTTAATGTCCGAAACATAAGCACCATTTTGGAAAAATTACCATTTTGAAAGTTAGTCTGTCTGATCAACTATTTTGTCTCACTGTATTTCTGTGTTAAACCTAAGATTATCTTAAATGTCTATTTCTAGTCCACGATCCAGTCGTCGTATGGAATCTTCTCGAACACGTTGTCGAGGAAGCGTGACATCTTCTCTGCCAGGTCTCGTTTCAACTCTGGCTTCATCTCCTTCAGCAACTCTTGGGCGTTGGTGTTGATGAACAGGTTCAGGGCAGCCTCTGTTTGGATTGAAATATTTTTTGGTTACATTATGTTTTTTATAGTTTCATCCAATATTTTATTGCTACGTAATTTTTATGAAGAAAATGTGATTGCTGAATATTTGGAAATAGCTCCTTTTTAGAAAACATGTTTTTGCTTCTATATGTATACGGTGGTGGCCGTCGGGAAGGTTTTAGTGAGGTAATTACCCTCTCCTTAGTCTTTTCCCCAAAAAGTTAGGCACGTTTTTCCTCTCGTCGATAAAAAAGGTATGTTATGTTTGTTAGCTTTGCCAAAATTGATTTATCAAATAACTCATTTAATCATTGTCAATATCAATAAGCATTATAGAAAGTAGAGTTCATGATAGTCAAGATTGTACTTGTAGTACTTACCTAAAACAGCGTTGCTATTCTGCAAGTTCTCGACGCCCATCTGAATGTCCTTGACGGAGAAGTCCAGTTTGAGCTGCTGCAGCTTGAGGTAGGTGCGACCGTTGCGAGTGTACGGCTCTCCGCGGAAGTATACCTTCGCTTTCACACCGTCTGTCAAAATATTGGGGAAATTGTTAATGATGGTACCATATGGAGTTATTCAAGGAAGCTTCTTGAATTTAAATTATTAGATACCATCTTCTAAGTTCGCTTTTGTATTTGATTATCAAAAGACATTGTTTTAATTTTTGCTCCATAGCTGCTGGCTTTCTCCTATGTGTAAGTAACGGCAATGTGGTTAAAGAGTTTTCAAAGGCTTGCAGCTCCGTCATCTTTTTTGTATCATTCTTGTCATTATTGTATTCATAAATTTCAGAAGCAAACCAACGTTGAAATATAATAACGGTTCTTAAATAATTAGACGATGAGTACAACTGACCGTATTCTCCCCAGTATTCTCCACCACCAGACGCGCGCACGAGCAGTAGCACGCCGGATGAACGGTAACGTGCGCGCGCACTGATGTGGGGACCGAATAGTGTCAACTGGAACTGATGCGTTTCTAGGTCTGACCTGTGTGACAATAAAGTAAAATATGTTCAAAGATTCATTTAGGGAAACACACAATAAGAAACTAAGCAAAAGTTAATAATAGGGATGCACATAACAATATGTGTAAGGGTGTAACTCACGATTCAGATTTATAAGAATTTAAGGATGAAAACTATACGATAAAGGGAGGGTTGAATTGAAATGGACGAATGAAGAGGACAAGTATGACAAAGGAAAAGATAGATAACCTAAGGCTGTAAGGAATGTTTGTGATTACGACGTGTTAAAAGAAGAAGAAATGCCTAAGCTATAACGCCAGGTAGTTCTGAGTAATGGTAAAGTATTAATAGGATCATATCAGCAGTACAAAGTAGTATAGTTGGTACATATATTCATAACAATAAAATATTTAAACCTTATGAGTAGGAATAAAAATGGTATGTGTTAAGTGTGAAACATAACATCCCATAATTACGATTTACAAACTGAATAATAATATTGTTCATTCAGAGGGATATAAAACAATGTTTCATTTACATTCTATATTACATTTTATTTGCCTTGCGAACATCGTTCCGTATTGATTTTTATAAGCAAACTAACTGTATTAGCAGATAATCTGTAATTATAAGTATTTGTTCTCTACCTTCTGTACTTAAGATTAACATAATGTTAATTTTGTCAGTTACATTGTTTGAGGACAACTGTATAGACTGATTAGAATTATTGTAATACACTAGTAATGATTTGATAAATGTGATGAAATCCAGCCAGTACCTCATAACCTGCTAAGAAGTTATTTATATTTATTTATTTATTTATTTATTTATGTACACACAGACAACATAAAGGACAACACATACATAAAATTAAAGTACAAAGGTACCACCTATTCCTATTGGAATTTCTTCCTGTGGACCTGGAGCAGGAAAAGTAATAATAATATAATGACACAGTGTGTAGTAACAAATAGAAAATTATATTTTGATAGGATAACAGAACAGACTCGATTTTACGCACTACCAGTCTCATTAATACAATATTTTAATACCTTGACCCTGAATGATATGGTCTACATGAGCCCATTCAGAGGCCTTAATTTCATAATATTTTTTGAAACCCTGAACGCCTCATAAAATCTTTTTGTTACCCCTTCAAGTATGAATATTTTAAGATAAGAGACCTTTGCAGTATTTTACATGGTCAAACATATTGTTTGTATTATGAGTCGTCAATTCTTTGTCCCCTTCGACCCCGTCTGTAACTTGTATGGACATTGGACATGTCTTTCCACGTGAACAGAATAAATTAAATTATTATTTTCATATCCAAATAGCCTAATATTGACATATTTGCTGGAGGTAGTAAAGAACGGTAATTTAATTTGTTTTGTAAGTTTATTTGCACAACTTTTAGATTGTTTGGATTTATATTAGTCATTGTTGATGTGGTGTTGTGGAAGAATCTAGGCTTAAAATGAAATGAAGAATAGGAATTAAAAGGTGATACGACTAAGAGTAGCGAAAGGGAAAGGAAACGTCTACCTAATCCTTAAATTATGATTAATAATATCTTGGGAGGGGTGAACGAAACTGATAAAAACTTAGCCAACAATCACAATGATTAGGAAGAGATAGATGCTCATAATTCACATTGTAACAATAGTGTTGCAAAAACACAAATAATTAGTATAATTACTTTTGGTCTTTGTTGAGTTTTTCATGTGGGAACGGCTCTTATGTAAGGTGAAAAATGACTCGACAGCACAACACAATAACACGACTGTCCTAACATTTATTGGTGCTACAGCTAAACAATTTTGTGGTTAACAGTTCGTTTGAAGTGAGTGACTAGTTCTGTGTCGTACGTGTCAAAACATACGTACAAACTTGGTCTCGGAACAAATACTTTAGAAGGCTATGTAAATATGTTCAGTTCTTGAGCAGCTGTTGAGATAGCGGTGAATATCTCGCGTGTTTTCATTGATTTAATTTTATGATCGCTTTAACACCTTTCTCGGTTAATGACATAAATATTAGAACTAGATAGATTCTATGGCTATTGTAACAGGAGTTTCCTTGTTACAGTTGTTTTGCTTTTAAGGTTAACAATCTTTTAAGTCTTTCGAACATGGCTCTGAATGACATTGAAATGTAGTCTTTGGAATAGTAATAGATGTAGTCTTAAATAAGAAATGATATTATTCGTTCGCCTTTTACTTTTGATCATGTTTATGATCACTATCGAATAAATTTTGTAAAATTAATCTTGAATGTCCCATAACACTGTTCTTTTCTGGTCTTACCTCACATTAGTGATGGTCATGTTAGAAGCTCCTATGGCTTGAATATCCTTGAAGCTGGCTCGGTAGCCATCGGGACCTCCACCCAGTGCGATTGACAGCTCATCTATTACAATAGGTTCCGCCTGGAAATTAAACATCATTCATGATTTTAGTAAGGCCTTTGACCAATCACAACATTACAAGGGATTTTGACAATTTAATTGTGATTATAGTAATTATTTTATGAGCTATTACCTCTTCAATTCCCAGTTCAGGGGCTCCTCCTTTCATGTACTCGATGAATGAGTTGAAGCTGCGGAGCAAGCAGGCGTCCACATTGGGGTCCCGTCGCGAGCATCGACCACCAAATATGTCTGAGTAAAGAAAATTACAAGTATAACACCGGTTCATAATACATTATATTAAAAAATGGGTGAAGGTGATCTAGGTTCTCACAGGCTCGAGCAAAGAGGTTAAAATTATTAACTCCAAATAAGACTTAAGGAAAAAAACATTTTTGAGGAAAACAAACATCGTCAACAAGATATAGTCGTTCGAATTATATTAACAGTTAACATAAAGAACATTCCTATGTTTCAAGTTATTTTATTAGTCAGCTGTTATGCTAATAAGCTTTCAATAGCGTAGGTATTATGAATATGGCTAACATTACTTAGTATGCTGTTGGCATCGTCTAACGGTAGGCAGGCATTGACGCGGTGAAAACAATAGAATCTGATAGATACACAATGCGAATTTCTGCGAAGACCTAGGAAGTGGCGATTGATTAGCCATGTTTTAGCTAGGAACTGGCTTCTTGGAGATGGCTCTTTGTTTTGATCTTCGAAAGCAGACGAAGATTAATAAAGCAGCTTGGTTTGTTAAGGTTGATAGTAGGCTAATAGGGTTGGTTTACGTTCGAACCCGTCGATCGAAATCCAAAATCTGTGGATTAATATCGACTTTTCACATTAGTTGTATGGATTTATTGTTAGACAAGTCAAATTAGGAGTCAGTGGAGAGAAATCAAATGATTTTGTTCTGAATTTTTTTATAGGCTGTAGTCTAGGTAGATCTTTTTTAAAAGGATTATTAATTATTGTTGTCTTTAAAACATATGTTGTATTGGTTAGTAAAGTAAATAACAATCGAAAGATATTTCTGTTCAAACCCGACAGATAAAAATAAACCTTTCTTTATTTTGTATGTCTCAAATATCTGATTAAATTAACCAACAGTACATCGAAGAACAGTTTGTTTATTGAATACATTTATCCTCATGTGTCATTAGCGTTAATCAAATAATTTCCGTTAAATCTTGCAGTGGACGAAATGGTACAAACAATAAATGAAAGTTTTTATATTGAAACGCCTTTCTCTTTGTCAACATGAACTATCATCGGGCCTTCTAAGAATTGTATTAAACTGCTAACGTTGTGCTAATTTTGTTGCAAAATATTTTGATTACTAACTGAATTTTTGTTGTAATAAATATGACAGATACTGTTTTGTTTCACTGCCGATTTCAATTTAACCATTTTTGTACTGTGGTTTAGATAGATTTCTGACAGCAAATTTATACAACTAAAGTTAAAAATTGATCCTTATCCACTGATTTTGGACTGAGTTAAAATTGACAGTTAGTAGGTAACTTAGGACAAATCAATCAAAAGTTAATTAAACCCAATAAGTTTGATCTTTATTTCTTCCAACTTTTGGGTACCGACATCAACAGATGCAACACTCTTGACCCTTTTTAAAAGATTCTCATCGTAGAGTCGATCAAACGTACAATGAGTACAAAGAAGGGCCTATAGCTGGCGGCTAAAACGTGTCAGAAATAATTATGTTTTTAACTGGTTGTGAAGTAACGGATCGCCGTAATGCACCTGCCGGGTCGTTGACCCACCACGGGACCTTGTCCGCGAAACTCGATCTCGCAAAAACCATTTACTGTTAGCCATGGAACACTTAATCCGTCTATATGGGGTGCAATAATAAGCTTGTATGTATAATGTAATCAACATGTATAGAGGACATGGTTGTTGTAGGGTCCATATTTGTAAACTTGTGCAAAATACGGTATGCAAAGGTTTTACCCAAGTTTGATCAATAATGTTCTCATAATTATTTCATCCTAAGGAAAAAAATATCAGAAGTAGCTACATAATCATAATGAACTTAATGATCTAAATATCTTTTCAATTCAAACACTGTCCCAAAGATGTCCATCGTTTTCGCTATAGATAGAAGAACCTCCATTAGCATGAGCAAAAGCGAAGTAGTCCAATAACTCTAAAACCAACCAGTTTAAGTAAAGTGGGATTAATAACTAGTTTCTGTGGAAACTTTCGTGCCAACATAGGGTCAAGGCCCAACACATTTGATGAAGTCGGCCAAATAGATAATGGCTACTTAAGAAGTATCTACTAAAACGACTGGAATAGGTACGCTGACCCCATTAAGACCTAGAATTACATGATGGCGTGCTGACAGAGTCTAATGTCAGTATATTAGTAGCAGTACTTACCTGATTATATAACAGACAAGGACATATATCTGCAATTACATATTTAGGACGAATTACCGCTGCACATTAATCAAGCTCTTAATAAATCCTTTTGTTAATCTCGTCAGTAAGTGCGGCTTTTATTAATTGCACATTTTATTATATTTATGGCTTAGGTACGGACATATTTTAGTTGTAATAGTTATTTTATTCCACTATAAACGTGATTATAATTAATTAAATTGTTATTAGACAAGATTAACATGTTTATTTATGAAAAAAGTGTTCGTATTACAAAGGACAAAAGTATGAATGTCGTTTAAATTAATTGTAATTCAACTTATCTCTAGACAGAAGAGGGAACTTTAATATTTTCAAGCCCCATCTTGTCAATTTCAATCATTGGAGTGGCTGTATCCTGTCGTAATACAAGAGATGTGACATTTGAGTCCCGTGTACACTAATATTCAAGCTGTTTAAGCTGTAACCACCAATATAATAAAGTTTTTGTCGAAATTTAACCAACGGCTGATGGTTAAGCAATGTATAAGGTACCTAATTGAATGTCACAATTTTAAGAATGTGCAAACGTGCGTAGTATAGTGTTAACGATGTATCAAGATGCAATATATGTTTTTATCACGATTTTGTTTCGCAATTTCTTTATTAGAGTAATGATGGTAAGTGGTAGTTGCTAAATTGAAACTATAAGAATTAACATTGCGATATTTTGATTGTGGTTTTTGTGGTAATTTCATCGTCTTTTTTACTTTGATTTGAATTAAATGTACATTCGCACTTATTTTAGTTTTGTGCATTTTTTACTATTTGTTCACCGTTTAATTATACATCAGTTGGTTTGATAACGAGACAGATGAAATTATAGAGATATTACTACACATTTTCATCAATAACTACAAAACAACCTGTAGTTAAATGATAAACGTGGTTCTATGTTTTAATTACAATAATTTTACTGAAAACTTTCACAGACAATTTATGTTATGAGTTTAGTTCGTTTCGTGATGCGCCAATGGCAAGGTTTACATTATTTATATTATTATGTACTTATGACTATGATCATAGTCAAAAGGTATGTATGTATTATATGATAATGAATGTTATATTCAGTTAGACCATTTATAATAGCTTTGTGTGTTAATTTTAATACATTACAAAGAACTATTGGCTATGTGCAAAGCGAGTAGTGGCGGACAGATAACGACCGCAGCGCACACCACGGCAGAAATTGGAAACAAATGCGGATGATGCAAACCCGGTTTTTATTATTAAATTCATTTTACAGTAAAACTATTGAATAAATTGCTCTTAAATAATGTCAACAATACTATTTAATTCTTGGTTTTATTTATATTTGCAAAGAAAATTATAATGTTTACATTGTTATTATTTGATAACTTCCGCAAATGTTGTAAACGCTACGCGTCGCCACCGTCGCGCACATAGCCAATACCGACATAGGTACTTCGCGGATACTTCAATTTTCGGTGTGGAAGGAAGGTTAAAGTTTCGTTCTCGTATTTTTAATTAAAATTTATTGTTTAAACTTAAGTAAGTGATAATAAAGAACATAAGTAAGAAGTTGACAACCAACCATTAGAGCTGAAGACGTACAAACACGAAGAAGAAGAATTCATTTCTAAAATAAATGTATTGTGGGTTTAAACATAACATAATGTAACATCACACCTTTTATCCCCGAAGGAGTAGACGGAGGTGCAAATTACAGCACTTAATGCCACTATACCATGTAACATCCACTTTTCACTATTTATGTTATGAGTCCCATTGTAATAGGGGTTTAAATTAGGGAAAATAAAAGTTACTTCAGGTCAACAGCTGTAGCTTAATGCCATTTAGCGCTTGTCTATATGTAGAATAAAAAACCAAATTATATGGAATTGACGTAAATTTTGACACTTTCCACTGTCATCCCCATACATGTATTTTCTACTCTCTCTGTAGACAAGCGCTAAAGTGGCGTTTGGCTAAAGGCACAGATTTATTATTATAGTTATTTATTCAGGTTAACCTATCCATTTAAACATAGGCATTCTTAACTAAAGATATAGACTAAGATATTTTAACTTAAGATATAGACGGGGCTATAATGAACAGTTTTGAGACATTAGTATTGCACCTGCGTCTTGTCTGAGTGTCATGGCGTCTGCTCGAGGCACGACATCTACATTACTCAACCTTCATTATACTCATTTCTCCTCCTTTCTGAGGCTTCCGTATTTACCTGGCTGACGGCAGTTTATGTAATAATCTATTTCTGATTTACTGATCTTGTAATATAAACGTTATTGATTTATTGATGATAAAAAGAAAATGAAATCTATACGAGGACTGCCGAAACAGACTCGTAAACGGTACCATTAGAATTTAAGTAGAAAAGTTTTTGAACCTATTTGGCATGTCTATAATGCGTTTAACTCCACTTTCAACGTTATTAACTTTCATAATTGTATTTGTCAATTTTTATTGAGATTATTGACAAAAAAGTACATACAATAGTTTGACCTTAAGTTTCTATGTAAACTGTCAAGGTAAATTTGAATTTATGTCAGCAACTCGTAAATAATACAAGTAAATAAACAAACAAAAAACATGACCTCGCCAATCATACACGCATTAAGCTCAGTTGTTTTAATTTTGTGCTAATTGTTATGGTAATTTTAGTGTTCGTGTATTAGGTTACACAAAGTATCTTATTATGTATTTTTAGCAATAATGAAACAATGCATGTAAGAAGTTCAATGTTAACTAGTTTGCATAGGCCCTTGATAAGACTCAAGTGCAAATAATTAAGAAAAGTTGTCTATTTCTAGTTTTCGGAAGCATTGGAAACACTGAATTAGATTTCGTCGTTAAAACATTTTATAAATAAGAGAAACAAAGAAGATTGCATCTTTTCTTAAAAGCGATATACTTTTATGTAATCTACATTTGATTATTATGATAGGAAAGTTCATATTTTAACCTATTTCTACCTCAAAAAGATGTTAGTGCAAACCTGGTGTACCAATATTAACCCACAGCGCCCTAGGTTATCCAAATGAGTTTCTTTAACAAACATCAAGGGATAATCGTAACCGACTAGTTTTTTAATGACTTTATTTTCAGCATTCTTGTGCACAGGAATAACTCCTTGCAAGAAAAGAAAGTTCCAGAAAAAAATGCAAGTGAAAGTGTCTCTACTTTCACGTAATGCACAATGCTATTAAAGCAAATAAAAATATTTTTAATGATCTTGTTATTGTTACATCATTAGTGTGTTTTAAAGTTGATTATGATGATGTTGTTCAATATTGAGCTTTAAGCTTTTGGTCGTTGAGTACTTTTTAATGTTACATTCAGAATATTATGTAAAGTACCGGTGCTTTTTAATCTACATTATGTTTTAAAGTAAATTATGTACCTATGCGAAATATTTGTTTGCATAAAAACTGAAGTATTTTCGTCTTCGGTGACTCAAAAGTACTAATTTAACTTTTAAACCGAATAAATTCGCAGATATAATTGAAATATTAAATGCAGAATACTTCATTGGTAGATATTATACCTCTATATAAAAAGTAAGTAGTCTTAATTAAAAACTTTATTATCATACATATAATATTTGAAATTTGTAAACGATTAACTTAATGTTTTGACGTAATCCTGTATAAAAATAATTATGTAAATTAGTAGTTAGTAAATTCTGTTTAAATAATTATTGCTATCGGAAAACCCGTGTTTTGACTATATCACAATAATTTCTCTGATCTCATACTAACGAATATTTGCATAAATAATATTTAACCTCTACAGAGGTTGAACTTGTTCGCAAATAAACCAGGTCCCTTCATTTGTTGCTATGTCAAACTTTGAACTTTTTTAAATTTAAGTTTTTTTTAAATAAATGCTAACAAATGGCCTGTTATTTTTTCAAATGAGGTCTATCGTTTGATTTTGTTCGATAATCTTATCTATGACCTGATATTTGTAAAAAGGTTTGCTAATGCTACGCTACTTAGAAAGAGACTTCTGTGTTTGTGAATTTTAAAGTGAATAATTAAGTACTTAACTTAACTTAGTAACCTAGGTCAGAAGGCAAATCTGACATAGATTTAGATGATGTACCTACACGAGTAGGTATAGTCTCTAATAACCTAATAAGTGCTATAAATGAAATGAATATAATGAAAATTTTTTACGCAGTTTTCAAAAATGTTGGTACTATAAGTACTAGACTAAATAGACTATTAATAAATAAAGTGTTTACTTTTCATTGTCCTTAATAAACGACATTTAAAATATTATCAAACATTTATACAGGTAAAAATAAAACATAACGACGACTGTTGGGTTTTACAGAAATAAAAGTAAATGCTCCAATTAAAATCGAAAACAAATGAAACTGTGAAAAACAAATATACTATTATATTACATTAGTAAATTATTTAAATGAAGAAGAAAGCGTTAATAATCAAGGTATGTGACTTTGTGTTGACGCGAGCGTTGTGCCCTTAGATAATTTGGGTTAATGTCACCAAAATACCTGAAAAGAAACTCACTCCATAGTGCATGCTATTGTTTAGGGCTAGTAAAACAAATGACACAAATAGTAACACTCGTCCGTCTACTTTCTTCCATCTACTTACGCAGGGCCGCGCCGACCCCCGGCAGCGCCTGTGTGCGGAATCGATGGAGCGCCTCTTTTTTACCGACTTCAAAAAAGCAGGAGGTGCTATGTTCGGCTGATTGATTTTTTTTGTTTGTTCGCACATTACTCCGCCATTTGTACACCGATTTCCAAAAATCTTATTTTGTTTAAAAGGGTATACTCTCGAAATGGTCCCATTTCCATGAGCTCAGAATCTGATGATACACTACAATTTGATAACGGTCTGGAGTCGACCTGATGATGGAGCCGACAGACAATCGAGAGAACTCCTCAGCTGTTTTTATTAACTACCCTATGCTTGGGCTTGATTAATTTAGTACAAATATAAGGTAGTTAATATAAACCGCTGAGGAGTTCCCTCGACTGTCTGTCGGCTCCATCATCAGGTCAAATCCAGACCCTTATCAAATTGTAGTGTTTAAAAATCGTAATTGAAAAACAAAATAGACGCAGTACTCGCCCATAGAATTTTCAAAAGTTCCCCTTGGTTTCCCTCGGGTCCCATCATCAGATCCTGACCTCATGGAAATGGGACCATCTCGGGAGTATACCCTTTCAAACAAAACAAGAATTTTCGAAATCAGTTCACATATGGCGGAGTACTGAAAAAAAAAAACAATCAGCCGAACATACGTACCTCCTCCTTTTTTTAAAGTCAGTAAAAAGTTCAATGCACACCTTACACACACTTTCAATCAAATGATTGTTCAATTGTTTTGTTTTAGCTTGACTCTCTCGTTCGTTAAAATCGGGGAATCCCTGTGACCCTACTCCTATAGCCTCGCACGCATCGCATCGGGTTGCGTTCACAAACTCACTCATACTTACTCATACAAAGTCGGCGCCTTTATGATTCAATATAACTAGTAGGTACCTACTTTATCTGTGGTTCAAAAGATCTGCCGCCGTTTTAACGTTGATCTTGTAACTCGTAAGTAATGTAAACTAAAACCCTAAGTGTAAAATGAAACCATAAACGTGATTAATAATAAACATAAATATTGAGAGACTTGTTTAATAAGCGTAATATAAGTTTTGTTGTATACAAGGCCTATGTTGCGCCTATTGTACCTACTTACTTATCGATACTCTACTACCAAAAATATAATAATTAAGGTAACAAAAATAATTCAAGTAGAGGTGGTGGCGCGACACGGCGCCCCTATTGTCTTGGCGCCTGTGTGCGCCGCACACTTCGCACACAGGGGCGGCGCGGCCCTGTACTTACGTGTGTTTGAAGTCCCCGATGCTATCACTGCAGCGAAAAATAATACTAACACTTGGTAGGCTGCCATTTTAAAATTAAATTATTTAAACATTAATAATAAAACGTGACAAAACCACGCCTCGGAAGTATTCCACTTTTGAATTTAGGAAATGACAATTTTGTTTTTTTTTAATTATGAAAGCCGGCAAGCGTCCGGCGCGTGCTGCCTCGGCGGGAGCAATGGTGTCGTAGGCTGAACCCTCTCCAAGGCACAAGATGCGTTGACCGCAGGTTTTCTATACATTTTTGCGGATGCGTATTTTTTTCCTTTTGTCTCTTTGTAATGTTTGAGAATGACATGTCATCGAGTTTCTCATATTTCGTTTTCTTTTTCTTTATGAAGTCTAATTGGTGTATGTAAGCTCGCTAGATAGTTACCTAACATAAACATTTTTGGATCATTTACAAATTTTATTTTGGTTACATTTTCCAGTCGGCAGACTCTCTACAAGTCTTTGGCTTGGCTTCATTGTTTAACAGATTAATAAATACATCTAAGTACCTGAAATGAAAACCTATCAAAAGTCACTTATAAAGCTAATAACTATGTAAATCTTGTATCCTAAATCAAAGGGAGTTATTGTCAAGGGAATGCCGCGAATTCATCATCATTGTATTTTCGTGTGATGAATTTGAATTAAAGGCGAAGTGAACGCCCGCCCGCTTAACGAATAAATTGAGATGTGTGAAGATAATAAAAAGAACGTTGTTGCAAGAAATGTGAAATATTTTAATTAAGTTTTTGTTGGTCTTACATATGTATTATAGGAAGTAGGTAGGTATGGAGTTTCTTGCTCTTTCTTCTCCACTCGAATCGACATTTCGGAACGAGCGCCTAGCTTCACTGACGGACAGACTGACAGACTATTATTTATTTCATATTTGTTGACGTTTCAAAAGTACCAAATTATGGTTTAATTAAAATAAAGGCAGTAAAAAAATGGTAGGGAATTATTGAGTAGAGGAAGCCCATAACATAAATTTAGGAAATACGTAACCCAGACATGAAAATACACTACTTAATGGGTATTACATATTATTATATTGCTTGCATGCCCGTTTTAAATTAATCGATTTTCCGAAATGTTTCTCGATACAACCGAATCGAATCTCGATACCGTTACTACCGGTTTGAGTGCATTCGTGATGAGGAATATGTCGGTCATACACTCTTGCTCTGAATTGCTTTTTATTTATTTGTTATTTCTGCAATTCATTTTGAATTGAAAAAAAAGCGGGACACAGGGCGCCAGACACATAAAAAATAACTTAACTTTTTTATTGTTTCTTTATTTTTGTAAATCGGTTTATTTTTGTAAACTTTATGGTATTTTACCGTTAGTTTTTATTGAAAAAAAGAACAAGTGGAATATTTCTTTATAAATGTTTAATGTTTTAATTAACATTTAAATTAATTATTTTGCGTAATTATACATATACTTATTAGCAAGATGATGATTCAATATAAACAATAGAATTCATTGGAGATGTGTCATTGGCCAACAGCTTATATTTTATTTAAAAAAAGTTAGGGTAGGAACATCATTGTGAACTATACCTACTGTTTATGGATACGTAGATACAAAGCTATGTTTAAAAATTAAAGAACTCATCTTCATCATACTTTGCATTAGGGACCTCTGGGCCTCTAAGAGCTGACAGCTTGAAGCCAGTCTCCTGCATTTGATCAAGTTTGGGTAACTCTTGTTTTATTAACTCATCTACATTTACTTTCGCTAGTTCTTGTTGAACTCTTTCCTTCAAAGGTCCTTCGAAAGCATCCATGATCTGGTATCTTAGAAGATTAGGTATAACGTTAATTGCAAATTCAATCACGTAGTCTAGAGTGCCTGCACCGTCAAAGCGAACTTGGATATTACCTATATCGAGATCTATGTCTCTCAGTGTGGGAGGTTTCCTGGTGTCCAGTGGCTGTGCCAATATCACCCTGGCACCAAAGTATTCTATAGAAAACGCCGCTGTACCCGCTCTTGTGACAAGCCCACTCACCGCTGACACATCCCACTGAGTCCTTCCTTCCAATTTTTGTGTACCAACCTCAAAGTCTGCCACAGCTGTGTTATTTTCCATCTTTAAAGTTATATTACCAACTCTTTGGAAAGAAGATATTCCTGTGACCCAGGTGTTAGCCAAAGAAATAGTGAATATACTCATTGTAGTGTTGTTATCTTTTATCTTGTACGGATCTAGTTTCATATCGCTTATCTTTTTCCTAACGTCAATGATCACCATGTCCAGAGGAGAAATAGAGTTGGGGAACTGTAAATCACCAGCGACTTCTTCAAGTTTTGCATTGATTTCAGCTCTGGCTTTAGGGTAGACTTCCTTGAGAATAGCTGGTAAACTAGAGTCAAAGATGGTAGCACCTCCAGTGTTGATAATACTTTGCAACATACCTCCGAGGAAGCCGAGGTTTTCAAAGTTTGTGGCTATTTTGGTGAAACTTAGGTCGACATGGATGTCTTGAGCTCGTAGCTTTCCGTCTATTTCTACACCGACATTAGCCTTTGCCAATATTTTTAAACCTGTGATGTCGACTGTGAAGGGTCCTCTTGAAGAACCGAACCACGATGATATTGAATAGTTCCCTCGAGCTTGCAAGGCATCTATCCTCAAGGCTGCTTCGACCTAGAATAAATAATAATAAAAGATTAAGTATTTGTATGTTTTAGAATATTAACAGTCATTTTCGTTTACACGGATAATGGCTCACATACATATTGTATGAAACCGAAAGAGTATAGATAGAACAATATTTTGTGTGTGGGTGGCTATCAAATAAGAAAATAAACTTACCACAAGATCTTCAACTTCAGCATTGACATGTAATATCCTGAGTTTACTTAGACCGTGGACCTTAGTATTGGTCAGGTACAGTGTGCCTAGTTGTAGCGACTGCTTCATGTCTGCCACAGGACAAGGGTCTGGTATGACATCTCCTGGTAAACCTACAGGGTCTGGTTGCCTAAAATGTTCTAACATCATCAGAATATTGTCACTCAGCTTCTTTTCTCCTTTTGCCAATTTCTTGCTCTCTGTTGAAATATCTTCTTCTGTGTCATCTGGAAATACATTTTAATATTGTCAATTGGTTGTTCCCAGGTCTTCATTAGGCTTGTATTTTTCGAGGAACATGATAAACACTAGTAAAGTTCTATGTTTATATGTAAACCGCCTTGTTAACTATCTATAAAAATCATCGATAACGCCTTTTTAAATAAATTTCAATGTTTTACTTGTGAATGGAACTAAATTTAATCTGAATTTAGTTTCGCTTATCAATGTACAACCTAATTCTAAGCAACTTAAACTACGTCAAATGGATGCGCAGAAGAATCTTAATATTGACTCATCACACAAGACGACACAAGAACAAGGGCACTATGACCAAATATTATTAAGGAGACACGAAATACCGTGAGTTTGATTACTCATTAACGACAAATATAACTTTAGCTTCACAAATATATATGTACACTTTGTTTAACACACCTTGGCCTGATGCCGTGACAATAATTAGACAGAAAATAACTATAAACTTTTGCAACCACATGTTCCTTAACTTGTTCACCACTGACTAAAAAACAGTCAAATATTGTTTCGTTATTCATACCGAAGTCAGGGGTCAAACATTTATCAGTTCTACGTAGCCATTTATCGACAATACTATGGGTTTCCTGTTTAATCATTACGAATTCTTTTGTTCTAGATATATTTAGTATTTTTTTGTTTAAAAAAAGTTGCTGGATGATATTTTACAAACAGCAGTTTGTTTAAAGATCAAAATGTGATCATAGTTAAGTGAAAATCTGCCTACAATATTTTGGAAAATATTTTTGAATAATCAAATATTGTAATAGAACCCGTGGAACTGGACGTCATTGGAGGAGGCCTGTATTCAGTAGTGCATATTATGTGGTTGATGTTATGATGACAATGTATTGTAAGTAAGCATTGTTTCAACTTATGTGGTTAAAAACCAATATTTTTATTGAACATGCTTGTCATAGCTGTGTACAAAAAATTAGTAATATTATTATAGAGAAATATATGAATGTTCTTTAGGTTGGTATTGTTCGTCGAATCAGTCAGCCTCACCTGTTAATTGAGCTGATTGTTAACCTACACATTCTTACTGCCTTCAGAACGGGTCCGCTCAAACTGTTGTGGTTCTTTCCTCAAAAGGCCACTACAGAAAGAACTTGCACGGTTCTCACACATAATCTTTTATACATATTTGTCTGGACTTTAAAAGAGACAGACCTCTGAGTTTGTTTCGGCATTTCTTCTCAGAGTAGTGAGTTAGGAAATGTCGGCCTCATCGTTCGCTTGATAAAATTGACGTGTAAAAGTGCTGCCTTGTAGCCTATTTGCAGAAATAAATTCACTTGTTTCACAACATCCAATCGTCTCCTTGCACCAGTATAAGCCAAGCATAATTTCTACGTTAGTCACGTCTCGTGAACTGTCTATTTTTTAGTTCCCAGACAAAAAGACAGCTCTCAAAATTTATTGCTTTAATTTACTAATACTTATGTGATTGTAATTCAATCCGTGATTTATAGCATTGGCTCGTTTGTATGATGATTGTGTCAGGCTTCTTAAAGATTTGGGTTCGATGCCCGTAATAGGTGATAAAGTGGTGATAAAAACGTGCTCTTTTCATGGTATGAGTATATATGTGTAGATACTTGGTTTAAGTTAAAAACTAAATAGCTATAAAAAGGTTGTGCCTTCTGTAGCCCGATTCACGTAATAAAAACCGTCGCGATATCGTAGCGACTTAATCGTTTAAGTCCTTTTCGTATTCACATACATCAGTCGCGTTCGATCGACACCGATTTTGAAGTCGTTCGATCGAAGTGTCGTTGAAGCGTATTCAGCTATGTAAATCGTCTTTCAATCGTTAATACGGTGGTATTCACGTAAACAAACGATGTTGGAACGGGTCGGCTATCAACGACTAAACGTCAAATTTGACGGTTGAAATGTCGTTGAAGTGTCGCTGAACAGAAGTACGTTTGTTTTGACTTCATTGTAACTCAGCTATTAATTTAATTTTATACGAACGAATTTTGGGGATTTTCGGTACAAAAACTCCAGTGATTAAACAAAAAAACAAAAAAATGAGTCTCGGGCTAGGCCTGTTATTATTAGATGCAGCTAAAAGAGAACATAGACGAATGGAGCGAGTAAGGAGAAACAGACTGAGGTGTTCTAGATGGGATGCCTTTGAAATGCCAGACAGAGATTTTATACATTTATTAGACATTTCGCCTTTCTAAGATCCTTGTCCACGATATTATTGAGGATATTACACCTCTAATAGAGAGAAATCGAAGGCAAGATGGTTTATCAGTGAAAGAAAAGGTTTGTCTCAACTTGTGTGCTTTTTACACTTAAATTTTATCTCATTACATTTATCTACTTAGAATCTAATTTTGTTTTTTCAGTTACTGCTCGCCCTATCATTTTTCGCATCTGGTTCCTATCAGACTCTTGTTGTGTGGTGATCATGAAACGAGATATATTATCACATCCCACCGCCTTCGATTTAATGGATAATATTACCTTACCGATCTCTTCAGGTGCAACTGGAATAAATTGAAAAGAATTGCTAGTATTAGAGCCCGTCATACCAGAAATGAAGGCCAGTGTCTGTTGTTCAGTATACTGATCTAATGTGTGAGTCGAGGAAAAGTGACGATTCAGATCATCTAATCCAACTGAAACCGAGAAGTCAGAATTGCGCGATCTGCCAATACCTAGAGTTCCAAGGAATTTCCAGATGTTGGCAGAAGACTCAGAAGTAATGTTTTCAAGAATGTGGCGGCTTTTAGCGTTGCGTATCATCTGATTGCACCTATTTATCTAAATTATACTGGTATTATACTGATTTCAGTTATCTAAATCTAATTGAAATGCAGAGCTTGAGTAAGTTCAAAGTTTAATAAAAAAAAGGTTATTAGTTTAATTATAAATATAATGTAATCAGTCTAATTAACAATTATAATACTTATTAAATAAAACAGTAGTGTCATTTTGTTTTAAAATACAAAACTATGGTCATCGTCATCACTGCTCTGAGATCGAGCCCGTTTGTATTCACTCGTTTCTTGTGTGTCATCACATTTTCTTTTCTGTAAAGATTCAAAAATTTTTAATTTGCATTAAATATTAATATTATTTTTATAACTGTGTCTTATTTTTAATTCATCGTCATCTTAGCGTTAATCTACACTTCGATATTATTCATCGCGGTCAACGGCGATGCCGAAGCAATGCAGCTAGATCAATTGTCGGACTGCTCCAACAACCCGAATTTGTATTATCACAATGTAATTTTTGTTTACTTACATTTCCCTCTTGGCCACCCTTGAAAATATTAACTAAGGCCTAAGCTGCACTGGCCACATTATTTATGGCGTTAACCTTGTTTTTTTCGATTTCATTGCGCTCGAGCTGGACCTGTATTTGTGACTTGTTTAATTCTAGTCGAGCTTTTTCTAAATCGGCTAAAACAGTTTTCGCCTTTTCTACTTCTGTATCTGAAAGTAATATTACAATGTTTTTAACAAATCATATTATTTGAATTTGTTTATACATCAATAAACAAGGTGTATCTGTACCTTTAGGATCCCTCCTAGATATTCTCTGGCTTTTACCCTTTTTTATATTATTGTGGAAACTCCTATTACTATTTAATGTTTCAGTTCTGGAAATATAAATTGCGTTAAATTAACACAATAGTAAGTTCTATAAAGTTCAATATTTTATTATTCATAACTATATGAAGATTGTATAACTTACTTAGCTTTGTCTACAGGCACATTAAAACTTGAAGAAGTTGATGGCTGGATGTCATCAATTGTAGTATTCTCATTCCTAAAAAATCAAAGTGTTAGAATTTATTTTTATGTTCTGAAAATATGTATTGTGTTGAATGTTTATTTTTTATTCGACATTTATAGTCGTTATTAAACTGAGAACAAAACCAACATATAATATAACATATATTATTTCAATGGTATGGTATTTCGCGTTAATTACATGCTATGCAAGAAGTGTACTTACTTTATTCCATTCTTTCGCTGACCTGTACATGGAAGGGTCTGCTGTTTCGCTATTCAATATTGACGCTAGCTCGGTCCACAATTTAGTGGACAAAATATTCTTCCCTTCTTTGCCTCGGACCCGTCCCAGTGCCAACATTCTATGTTTCTCCATAAAATCTACCAAGAGTTCTAGCTGCCTTACAGAAACTTGCTTCATTTTAATTATATTTTAATTTTTTCAAACTTTGCCGGTGATTGACAGTTATTTGACAAGTAATGCAGAGACAAATTATAGACTTTCCTTTTTAAACCGTGGTTTAGTGGTGAAATTATATTTTACTCAACAATTTACATTAAATGTTTATTAATATTGTTTTTAATTCCATTTATTTAATTGTTATGACGTAAATCAGATTTTTTTAAACTTAAATCTGTATTTTAATATTCTGGTAGAAAACATAATTGTTTAACTGGCAATGAAACGTTGATGAATCGTTTAGTTGTCGTTTAGTTTCGAGTCAGTTTAATTGTCGTCCTATCCAACCCCGATTATAGAACACGTGAATACCGATTTCGGATAGGACTTCGATCGAACTATGATCGAGCGACTATAAAACTTCAACTGTTTGATTTTACGTGAATTAGGCTACTGTAGCCCGATTCACGTAATAAAAACCGTCGCGATATCGTAGCGACTTAATCGTTTAAGTCCTTTTCGTATTCACATACATCAGTCGCGTTCGATCGACACCGATTTTGAAGTCGTTCGATCGAAGTGTCGTTGAAGCGTATTCAGCTATGTAAATCGTCTTTCAATCGTTAATACGGTGGTATTCACGTAAACAAACGATGTTGGAACGGGTCGGCTATCAACGACTAAACGTCAAATTTGACGGTTGAAATGTCGTTGAAGTGTCGCTGAACAGAAGTACGTTTGTTTTGACTTCATTGTAACTCAGCTATTAATTTAATTTTATACGAACGAATTTTGGGGATTTTCGGTACAAAAACTCCAGTGATTAAACAAAAAAACAAAAAAATGAGTCTCGGGCTAGGCCTGTTATTATTAGATGCAGCTAAAAGAGAACATAGACGAATGGAGCGAGTAAGGAGAAACAGACTGAGGTGTTCTAGATGGGATGCCTTTGAAATGCCAGACAGAGATTTTATACATTTATTAGACATTTCGCCTTTCTAAGATCCTTGTCCACGATATTATTGAGGATATTACACCTCTAATAGAGAGAAATCGAAGGCAAGATGGTTTATCAGTGAAAGAAAAGGTTTGTCTCAACTTGTGTGCTTTTTACACTTAAATTTTATCTCATTACATTTATCTACTTAGAATCTAATTTTGTTTTTTCAGTTACTGCTCGCCCTATCATTTTTCGCATCTGGTTCCTATCAGACTCTTGTTGTGTGGTGATCATGAAACGAGATATATTATCACATCCCACCGCCTTCGATTTAATGGATAATATTACCTTACCGATCTCTTCAGGTGCAACTGGAATAAATTGAAAAGAATTGCTAGTATTAGAGCCCGTCATACCAGAAATGAAGGCCAGTGTCTGTTGTTCAGTATACTGATCTAATGTGTGAGTCGAGGAAAAGTGACGATTCAGATCATCTAA